GGGCGTCAGCCCTTAAATTCGGCTCCGCCGGCTCCCCACGAGTGGCTTGCCCCACGAGCGTCCCAGAGCGACTAGAGCTCTAAGGTGAGGCGCGCCCCAAGCCGCCGACCCTCCGACGCCGGGCCCCGAAAAACACCAAAAATCCTTCAGGAGGGTGGGGGAGAGCTTTTTGGCCGGGATCCGGGTCGCTCATAAGCGTCTCCAAGAGCAAAAGGCCACCCCCCCCCCGTTTTGAGGGTACCTAAAATCGAAAAAAAGTGTCGTTTTGACACATTTTTCGGACGATTTTCAGCTTTTCGAAATGGGCACAATGCTGTAAAATTACAGCATTTTTGCGTTTTAACGTCTTTTGCGGGAGCAATGCAAAAACGCAGAAAATGCTGTAAATACCAATACTTTTTTGACCCGAGATGCACAAAACACTGCAAATACCAGTGTTTTTGAAAGCCAAGCCAAAAAACACTGTAAATTACAGCATGTTTGGCAAGTTTATCGCAAAAAATGCTGGTATTTACACTGTTTTTGCAATTTCAAGAAAACGTGGAAGGCACGAAACACTGTAAATAGCAGTGTTTTAGCCACTTTTGGACGCTGAAACGCTGGTATTTACACAGTTTTTTGCCCGTGACGGCGCCAAACCCCTGTAAATTACAGCATTTTTTGCACTTTTTGAACCGATGTTTTGCCTTGATGAACGCAAAAAAACGCTGGTATTTACGCGTTTCCCAAAAAATCGAAGATCGTGACGTGAACGAAACACTGTAAATAACAGTGTTTTAGCCACTTTGGGGGACTAAAACTGTGGTATTTACGCGGGTTCTTGCCAGCTGACAGCGCAATATGCTGTAAATGACAGCGCAATATGCTGTAAATTACAGCACTTTGTGCGCTGTTTATGTTCAATTTTTAAACGCGCGATGCTTTCACATGTTCTTTGCATTATTTTGCACTCTTCCACAAGAAACAACGTTGCAGATTGAAACTGGACGACAGCGTGACCCGAAAGAAAGCTGGAGGGAGGAGACGCACAGAAGCTTTTACCCACACAGGGGCTTTTACACAGAGAAGTCTTTACAAAGGAGCTTTTTACATACAGAAGGTTTTACACAGAGAAGTCTTTACTCTAAGGTGCTTTTGCAGACCAACGTCTAGGAGCTTTTACTCACAGAAGTTTTTACACGAAGAAGTCTTTACACAGAGGACTTTTTACACACAGACGCGTTTGCACACAGAAGCTGTTACACAGAGAAGCCTTTACACAGAGGAGCGTTTACACACCAAAGCGTTTACACACAGCAAGCTTTTACACACGCAGGGGCTTTTACACAGAGAAGCCTTTACACAGAGTATCTTTTTACACACAGAAGGTTTTCCACAGAGAAGTCTTTCCTCTGCGGAGCTTTTTCACACAAACGTCTTGGAGCTTTTACACACAAAAGCTGTTACACAAAGGAGTCTTTACACAGAGAGCTTTAACACACAGACGCGTTTACACACAGAAACTTTTACACAGAGAAGCCTTTACACAGAGAGTGTTTACACACGGAAGCTTTTACACACAGAGAAATCTTTACACAGACGGGCTTTCACACAAAGAAGCTTTCACACAAAGAAGTCTTTACACAGAGAATCTTACTTTTACACACAAAAGCTTTTACACAGAGAAGTCTTTGCACAGAGGCGCCTTTACACGAAGTAACAAGTTGAAATCGGCAGCAGTTCTTTAGGAAAAACCCTTCGCAGGAGCTTTCGGGAACTCACTTGCTCCCCAAAAAACGTCTATTCCAACAAATATGTTCCAAAAAACCTAAGGAATATATTTCTGAAGCAGGTCCTCATTCAGTAACTTTCACGCCCTCACTGCGATGAAATGGAGGGCCGAGTGGTCCGGCGGAGCCGACGAGGGGCGTCAGCCCAAAAATCCGGCGATGCCGTCCGGTGGTGGTGGCTAAGCATAGCTTTAGCTACCCGGGGGCGCGCCCCTGCCGCCGACCCTCTGCCGACCCTCCCCGAAAATCCTTCAGCCTGGTGGGGTTTTCACGTTTTTCGGGGTCTGGGGTGGACAAAAAGAGGGTGAAATTTCAAGATGCGTTTTGGAGGTCCTAAAATCGGAAAAAAAATGCCGTTTTGACACATTTTTCGGACGATTTTTCGCTTTTCGGAAGTCACAAAATGCTGTAAATTACAGCATTTTTGCGTTTTAACGTCTTTTGCGGGAGCAATGCAAAAACGCAGAAAATGCTGTAAATACCAATACTTTTTTGACCCGAGATGCACAAAACACTGCAAATACCAGTGTTTTTGAAAGCCAAGCCAAAAAACACTGTAAATTACAGCATGTTTGGCAAGTTTATCGCAAAAAATGCTGGTATTTACACTGTTTTTGCAATTTCAAGAAAACGTGGAAGGCACGAAACACTGTAAATAGCAGTGTTTTAGCCACTTTTGGACGCTGAAACGCTGGTATTTACACAGTTTTTTGCCCGTGACGGCGCCAAACCCCTGTAAATTACAGCATTTTTTGCACTTTTTGAACCGATTTTTTGCCTTGATGAACGCAAAAAACGCTTGTATTTACGCGTTTCCCAAAAAATCGAAGATCGTGACGTGAACGAAACCCTGTAAATAACAGTGTTTTAGCCACTTTGGGGGACTAAAACTGTGGTATTTACGCGGGTTCTTGCCAGCTGACAGCGCAATATGCTGTAAATTACAGCACTTTGTGCGCTGTTTATGTTCAATTTTTTAACCTGCGATGCTTTCACCTGTTCTTTGCATTATTTTGCACTCTTCCACAAGAAACAACGTTGCAGATTGAAACTGGACGACAGCGTGACCCGAAAGAAAGCTGGAGGGAGGAGACGCACAGAAGCTTTTACCCACACACACAGGGGCTTTTACACAGAGAAGTCTTTACAAAGGAGCTTTTTACATACAGAAGGTTTTACACAGAGAAGTCTTTACTCTAAGGTGCTTTTGCAGACCAACGTCTAGGAGCTTTTACTCACAGAAGTTTTTACACGAAGAAGTCTTTACACAGAGGACTTTTTACACACAGACGCGTTTGCACACAGAAGCTTTACACAGAGAAGCCTTTACACAGAGGAGCGTTTACACACCAAAGCGTTTACACACAGCAAGCTTTTACACACGCAGGGGCTTTTACACAGAGAAGCCTTTACACAGAGTAGCTTTTTACACACAGAAGGTTTTCCACAGAGAAGTCTTTCCTCTGCGGAGCTTTTTCACACAAACGTCTTGGAGCTTTTACACACAAAAGCTGTTACACAAAGGAGTCTTTACACAGAGAGCTTTAACACACAGACGCGTTTACACACAGAAACTTTTACACAGAGAAGCCTTTACACAGAGAGTGTTTACACACGGAAGCTTTTACACACAGAGAAATCTTTACACAGACGGGCTTTCACACAAAGAAGCTTTCACACAAAGAAGTCTTTACACAGAGAATCTTACTTTTACACACAAAAGCTTTTACACAGAGAAGTCTTTGCACAGAGGCGCCTTTACACGAAGTAACAAGTTGAAATCGGCAGCAGTTCTTTAGGAAAAACCCTTCGCAGGAGCTTTCGGGAACTCACTTGCTCCCCAAAAAACGTCTATTCCAACAAATATGTTCCAAAAAACCTAAGGAATATACTTATTTCTGAAGCAGGTCCTCATTCAGTAACTTTCACGCCCTCACTGCGATGAAATGGAGGGCCGAGTGGTCCGGCGGAGCCGACGAGGGGCGTCAGCCCAAAAATCCGGCGATGCCGTCCGGTGGTGGTGGCTAAGCATAGCTTTAGCTACCCGGGGGCGCGCCCCTGCCGCCGACCCTCTGCCGACCCTCCCCGAAAATCCTTCAGCCTGGTGGGGTTTTCACGTTTTTCGGGGTCTGGGGTGGACAAAAAGAGGGTGAAATTTCAAGATGCGTTTTGGAGGTCCTAAAATCGGAAAAAAAATGCCGTTTTGACACATTTTTCGGACGATTTTTCGCTTTTCGGAAGTCACAAAATGCTGTAAATTACAACATTTTTGTGTTTTAACGTCGTTGGCGGGAGCCATGCACAAACGCAGAAAATGCTGTAAATACCAGTACTTTTTGGACCCGAGATGCACAAAACACTGCAAATACCAGTGTTTTTGAAAGCCAAGCAAAAAAACACTGTAAATTACAGCATTTTTGGCGGGTTGATCGCAAAAAATGTTGGTATTTACAATGTTTCTGCAATTTCAAGCAAACGTGGAAGGCACGAAACACTGTAAATAGCAGTGTTTTGGCAACTTTTGGACGCCGAAACGCTGGTATTTACGCAGTTTTTTGCTTGTGACGGGGCCACTCCCCTGTAAATTACAGCATTTTTTGCACTTTTTGAACCGATTTTTTGTCTTGCTGCATGCAACAAACGCTGGTATTTGCACGTTTTTCAAAAAATCGAAGATCGTGATGTGAACGAAACTCTGTAAATAAGAATGTTTTAGCCACTTTCGGGGACTAAAACTGTTGTATTTACACGGGTTCTTGCCATCTCAAAGCGCAAAATGCTGTAAATTACAACACTTTGTGCGGATAGGCATAGGCCAACATAGCCTCAAGATGGGCCAACATAGCCCCAAGCTGGGCCAACATAGCCCCAAGATAGGCCGCCGACCCTCAGCATGTCATGTTCGCAAGTTCAGATGACATCCCCCTCTCTCTTTCCCTCCCCCGACCCCTACCGGCGTCGCCGGTGTGCGAAGCTCTACAATTTATATGATTGTTTGATGGTGTCAATTTTAAAAAACACATCAAACAACCATATGTATGGCATCGCAACATCATATATCATATCTTTAATATACATATAGATGATATATATATATATAATTATATTTATATCATATGAAATATCATATACGCGTTAAGAGAGGGTTAAACAATATAGTCATTGGGCATCACCAATAATAGATCGTTACATCATCGAATTACCAACCTCCATTGACCTCGACCAGGCATCGAAGTCATCTAGCGATGCTGGAGGGGAATGACGCCACTCCTCATCGATCACTTGCCAGAGCTGCTTGCTGGTCCTTGGTGATGTCAAGTTGAAGCGTACCCAACTACTACAACTTGGCAATGGAAAATCCCACATTTGCAAATTCAACTGATTTTCTTCTAAGATCTCATTATACTGTAACACTGTAACACTTCTGGGGTCGGCATTGGCTATCTTTGTAACGTCTGAAATTGAGGGGAGCATGGTTTGGAGGGGGTGCCCTAGTTTATCCTTTTATTTACATGTATCACCTGGATTCAAAGAAATTCAAGTGGTACATAGTGGTACCCTCCGGTAATCAAACAATATCAAACACATAGCAATTGGAAATCAACTATTTACCATCTGGTTATTTAACATAGCCATGGAAAATGGCCCATTTATAGATGGTTTACCTATTAAAAATGGTGATTTTCCATGGCTATGTTAAATAACCAGAGGGTATATCCATTTATGGATCATGTTTCCCACTAAACCCTACTTGGGTACATTTTTCAGCGGATTTTCCAGCCACATTGGATCACCCCGCAGGTAGTCGCTCCGCGGCGTCTTTCAAGCCGAAACCGCGGATCCGCTGGGCTTCGTCAGTTGGGGCCTGTCTCCAGCTACAAATCCACCGTTTTTGTGGAAAACAACGGGTGAAATCATTCACAACCAAAGCATTGATCAATGGTCATTTCAGGAACCTAAATTGGAGGTACCTACCATATATAAGGCCTATGTAAGGCCTATGTAAGGGAATATCGCCACAAAATATGGCCTTATATGGTACAGTACCTGCATTTCAGGATCCTGGAATTCCCATTGAAAATGGGACCAATGGGAGTTGTAGTGAAAATGCCATCTGACGTTGATCTATTCGGCGATGGATCAGCAAATGGAGCAGCATCCAAACTACTTGTAGAAACATTAAAATCATCAAGGCCACTTGCAACGTCACAAGTTTCTAGTGAGCAGGTATCGCTCACCCCGACCTAACAGGACCTAACAGGACCTAACAACATCAGCTCGGTTTAGCCCTGTCAGCTTTTCACCCTGTCGGACATCTGTGGTGGAGTCTACTACTGGCATTGCCAGTGTTCTCAACTGCTGACATGGCCGACCCGGCGTGGCGTCGCGCGTGGCGTGTCGTCATCATTCGGACTTCTTGTCCGTCAGTTGGTGGGCAGCACGTTGTCTGGCTTCTCTCTGGGCACGTCTTCGCATGATGCCTGCGCGTTTGGGGGCTCAGCCGTGCGTGAAGAGTCGCCGTTTGATAAGTAAACCTGGGTCTTTTAATGATTGGTGACATCCCCATCTCTCAGCGAAACAGATCCACCACTATCATCCACTATCCACCTTGAGATACTCTACTCACCTAAAAAACAACAACTCAACTTAAGATGTAACATCAATTAACCATATTAATACTATATTAATCCATATTATTAGTGATTAGTGACCAATTGTTCACCAACAAAGTGATGGCCCGAATGGTGCTTGGGGTGCATCAATGCATCCGTGTCTACTGGTTTGGTATCCCATCGTACCCCATCAATTGCTTGGTATACCTACCATACACCCCAACATTTACCTCATTACTCTAAAACAAAGCCATAGCCCCAAGAAAATCCACCATAAACCCAAAATTTCACATCATTCACATCTTTCTTCATCATTGACCAGGGATATAGACTATAACATGGTATCAGCCATTCATGGCTCACCTCACCTGAGCTATTCAAAAAAAGATAGCTATCCCATCTCATTACACTCTTGGTTAAAACATGTTAAAAACATGTTAAAAGCAATTTTCATTTTCACGGTCAAATTTCCCCCTTGGCCCTTTCAGAACCCGATCAACCAAGAGGAGTTTGTTCATACTGTGAATGGTTGCGAAATCCTGCACCACCAAACGGATGATTGGTGCACCCTACAAATAATGGGATGTTTACCATCTATCAACTGGTGATTTGGAGTTCGCAACCATCCACAGTAGCACTCAGTAACTCACCTCACGATCCAAGTTGCAGAACAACAAGTGCGGACAGCAGTTGCGCAGCTGTCGCGCCAAGCGCGCATCGAGGGCTGCTGGGACCATCTCTGGGCGCTTCTGGGCAATGCCTAGCCCACCAAACGATAGAAACGTGATTCATCACTGTTTTAGTGGGATTTTACTGTTCTATCATTCTATCTATTTGGGGATATAGTCGTAGTATTATAAGGCATGATTTTTAGATCATCACTATTGTTAGTGTTTTTGTTACTATGGATCATGATTATCATCATGATGCATTTGATTGGAAGCATGGTCGTCCTCGTCCGCGTCGTCATCATCATGATCATTCTGACTGTATAGTAAACATGATACTTTGTCAGTCCCAAAAATATGCACACATCAAACAACCAAATAACATGATAATAATGATATATCTTTGTTTGGACCATGTCTGATAAGAAGAACCTTCACCACGAGGGTGGACCAGCCAGTTACTCGGATGTAGTTCAATAAATAAGGATAATTATTCAAGGTAATGTCCAGTCCAGGTTGCCTTGTGCGTTCCCAAAGTAGGTGGAGAGCATGAAAACATGGAAGCCAAACATGAAGGTCCAGACTGAGCCCAGGTGTATTCATATTGTTTGGACATTGTGATGGATTTACACGTGTGATTATGCGATGTTCGGAGAAAGCAAGGCGGCAAACCGGAGTGGCATTCAGCATTGTGCCATCATGATTTCAGCATTGATGCGAAGCTATGCATGAGAACTTGAAACCGCCATGCATCAACATCACAGATTTGCCTGAATATGGGCAGTCAACCCAGAGACATCTAAATGAATGCGAACTGTTCCACACACAAAGGAAATAAGAGCTTCATTTTCAATGTAGAAGGTGATAGAAGGTGATTTTTGGTCCTTTGGAATGGCCTTTGAGAACTTCCGGCGCAAGGACTTCTGGCAGCACACCCTTGCCTCGCGCTGGTGATGATGCAAAGCAGAACGGTCAGCATAGTTCTGTTTCTCAACCATCCACTTGTTTTTTTGTGGTATGTTTGTGGGATGTTCAAGCATTGGAGGCTCATAACATGACTAATCACACGAAAATGACTTTAGATCTGCAAGGATTGTAAGGTGTATGTATTAAAAAAGAATGGAGACTCGGTTGAATTTCCACCCCTTCCGGATTTCTTAAATGACCACTGGCCACCGAAACGGCGAGGCGCTGGTGTGACCCTCGGGGTATTTTACGCCCTCACCCTTCGCGGCATTCTCACTGTGACCTGTTGCGATGTACCTCGGATTCGCACCAGCCACATGGACATGGGAAAATCGGAGGGGCCGGGCACAGCCTCAAAGGTGCCATGAAATGAGCCCGGGGCCCGGGGTGCCTAGGAAGCTGGAGAAATGGCTCAGAAATCTTGAGAGACAAAACGATTGAAATCAAATCCACCAAATCAACCCAAATCAACCACAGATTAGCCATTTGATTGTGAACCACGGCGATTTGGTGCCTAGTGATGATTCTGGTGAAACCTTTTTAGGCCCATGGCCCCTGCATCCAAGATGCCCTGGGCAAATAGTTGTGACAGAGACGCCTAGCTCATGGAGACGGTGGGGTCCATGGTTTTTATTCTTCACAAGATAAGGACGTATAGTAGATGTTCAATGCACCAACACTTTGACCACTCTTTAAAAATTCTACCCTCTGGTAAACTAACATAGCTATTGAAAATGGCCATAGAAATAGTGGATTTTCCCATTAAAAATTGTGATTTTCCATAGCTATGTTAAATTACCAGAAGGGCTACTGCTGAAGAAATCCCAATGCTGACAGCATTCACCGTAGGCTCTTCAACCTGCCGTTCGGTATCATCTAAGTCCACCAAAACATATCATGAAGATCCAGTCGAAGTCCGAGAATCTATGAAAATATGGCAGTGTGTCAAAACCTTGTACCCCTGGTGAACATCAAAATAGCTGGTAAATGGATGTTCATCCCATTAAAAATGGTATTAATAGGTATTGATCCATACCCATCTATGAAAATATCACATCACCTCCACCCAACACGCCCTCTCACCCCTCTTAGTCTCCATCCCCGCCTCTGTCCGCCACCTCCGCCCGCAAGGAGTCGTAGAAGCCGATGGCCGCGTGCTTGGCGGCCGCATAGGCTGTCCGCCCCGGGAGACCGAAGAAGCCCTGGACAGAAGAGACCTGCACCACGTGACCCTCACCGCGCCGTAGCCAGTCCTTAGCTGCGGACAGATCCGAAACGTGGGGAAGGGGCTGCGAAAATTGCTAGGGATATGGAGACTGTGTCAGATTCGAAGAAAAACACGGTGCTGAAAACACGGAACGCAATGAACAAAACATGAATTATTGCAGAGACAGGTGCCACATTCCAAATGTTGACTAAATGGATCTGAAATGTCTCAGGCTACGTTTCGCCTGACATATGGGCGGTCTTCCTGACCAGCTGTAAGATATTGTAAGGTCAAACCTGGAAACGCCATCGGTCGCTGGTGACTCTGCGGATTTTCCGAGGTGGAGAGTATGGAGAGTAATGATTCGAAAAGAAACATCGAAGTTGCAAAAAAAGGAATCACTCCGGCCAGGATCTACCATGGATCAAAAGATGGGATTTTCAGTGCCTACAATCAGTTTTGGTCTGAATGTCAAGGGGTCCACAATGCCACAGTTCATGGTCGTCTTGTCCATAATGTCTTTCGACGAGGTTCGGGCAGCAGTGATTTTGTGAGTACTACGCCACTGAAGTAATCCACATTCATCACCATTTGGTCGATCTCAATTTCCGTCTCCTCCCCCAAGCCGCGAAAACCAATGCCGCCGTTGTTAATCCTCCGAGTCTCAAGAGCTACATGAGGATGGCTGGTTGTCTGGTAGCAGTAGTTATGACTAACCACCTAAACCGATGAGGGCGATATATGAAAACAACACCCAGAAAAAGTACAGAGAGGGATTGCAAAATGATTCCCGTCCTTTTGCTTTCTTTGGCAGTCCAAACAGTTGATACAAATTATCGAAGGAAGTTTAGAAGCTAAACTTCCGACAATATGGACAGATGAAAAGCAGAGTAGGGAAGAGGCAGAGAGAAGAGAAAGATTAGAAGAGAGAAGAGTAGAAGAGAAAGAGTCAGAAGAAAGAAGATGCAGATGTGCGAAAAGGTAGGAAAGTCGCGAAACACTGTGTTCCTCCAATGATTTGGGGCTCCGGAGGGTAGGAAAGTAGGCTCGCTAAAGCGGCGGGTGCGGAGCCAGCTGGTCAGATGAGACATGAAAAAGTGCACGCCGTTGTGGCGCGAAGCACATTTGGAAGGCAAAATGGACAAAACACTAGAGGATCGGACCACTTTTGGAAGTTGCGATGTCGAAAAAGTGCACGCCGTTGTGGCGCGAAGCACATTTGGAAGGCAAAATGTGCAAAACACCGCAACCTCGGACCACTTTTGGAAGTTGAGATGTTGAAAAAGTGCACACCGTTGTGGCGCGAAGCACATTTTGAAGTCAAAATGTACAAAGCACATCAAAACACACCAATGTCGGACCACTTTTGGAAGTTGCGATGTCGAAAAAGTGCACGCCGTTGTGGCGCGAAGCACATTTTGAAGTCAAAATGTACAAAACACACCAATGTCGGACCACTTTTGGAAGTTGCGATGTCGAAAAAGTGCACGCCGTTGTGGCGCGAAGCACATTTCGAAGTCGAAATGTGCAAAACACCAGGGGTTCGGACCACTTTTGGAGGCTGAGATGTGGAGTTTCGAAAAAGTGCACGCCGTTGTGGCGCGAAGCATATTTGGAAGTTAAAAGTGTAAAAAACTGCGGGTTTTGAGTCTTTTTTGACGTGAAGATGTCGAAAAAGTAGACACTGATTAACTTAACTAACTTGACTAACTTAACTAACTTAACTAACTTAACTAACTTCACTAACAAAACAACAGCAACAACAACAGCAACAACTACAACAACTACAACTACAACTACAACTACAACAGACACAGCAACAACAACAACAACAACTACAACTACAACCACACAACAACTACAACTACAGCTACAACTACCACAACAACAACAACTACAACTACAACAACAACTACAACTACAACTACAACTACGAAACAACTACAGCTACAACTATATGACTGCAACTACACTACACTAATTACATTACACCACAACTACAACTCCACTACCCTACAACTACAACTACAGTTGCAGCACATCACACTACATCCAGCAGTTGTGGGTGAGGTGACCACTGCAACCATTGCAACCATTCCAGCAAACACAACTCCAACCACCTTTCGGTCAATCAGTGGATTCGCTCTGCCATCCGTGATTCACAACAACCAACGTCTCCTATAGGTTTCCTATTCTGAAACTTCCGCCACCGCCTTGTGCGGTACTACTGGTATCAAATTATAAGCTGGTCTACAAGACCCCATGAACATCCATCAACATCATCAACTCCGGATAAATCTAACATACATATGCAGAAATCCAGTTGAGCTAGCTAACCAGATGTAACCAGCCTAGCTATGGCGTACCATAGGAGCCATAGAAAAAAAAAACATACTGAAGCCAAGACGAGGTTGTCAGAATCCCCACTTCACCAAAAAAGCTCTTGGCCGTGGCAGCGGCTTCTGGCAACGTGGCAATCTCGGCAAGGTCCAGGGGTAGGACTTGCACCTGTCGCATCGGTGCTCGTTGAGCATGAGCAAGTTTCACATGGGGAATGGATCATACCCGCAGTTATGTATGGAATATCCCTATATATATATGTGGGATTATCATGGTTTATACGGGTTATATATATATATATATATGTGGATTATATACCACGTTTTATGTGGGATGAGTCGGATGCACATCCAAGTGATCATAGCACCATTCGTACCAGGCTATTGGGATTCCCATGGATGGACCCATAGCATCAGTCGAAGCTAAAAAATCTGCAGGAATGTTGGGAATGCAATGCGTATTTTTGGGGGACATCGTGGAGATATATACTCTTTCATGGCCGTATCAACCACGATTCACGCTGAGGTGCTTTGAATTGCTGAGGTCGATACAAAAGTGGGATCGTCTTGCAAAATCATGGAAGAAAGCGACAAATGGAGAGCAACGGATATTGATACATGATGATACATGACATGTTGACATCGTACAATATCGTACAATATAGATAATGATAGCCAGTTTCAATAGAAACTTGTCTGCATTTGGAGTGTTCTTCAGAGATGGGGAAAGACTTGGGACTTGTCCATCTAGCGAGTTGGGAGTTATGACCCCGTCACCAAAAACGATGTGTGGGTCGGCGGGTCGGCTTGAGACATTGAGACCATGGCTGACGAATGCCTAAGGAGCTGACCATCCTCGGATGATTTTGACTACGCTTCCGCTAGATCCTCTGTCACTAGTAGCTATAACAAATATCAGGACATTAAAAAGGCAAACT